AGCTATTTTTACAAGAGTGAGTATTCACTATCTCTAAGCATAATCAAGCCAGTAAACGTTTAATTAGTTTTTGGCACCAGGTAACGAAAGAGGCAAAGACATCAAGCCAGTCATCTCTGAATTCTTGGCCATACAGATCTGGTTGGCATTTTATAGGATTTCGGCCTTGTGTTTATGTGTCATATAGTAATGGGTCCAAGCCATGCTGCCAGTATAGTTTCTTAAACTCTTATAAAGACTTTATTTTTTGTTCCCATTTCTCATGAGTTTCAGGCTGAACTTTGATTGTCATAGAATATTGGTGAAGTGGGTCAGCTCCAGGGATCAGTTAGAATTTTTCCTTCCAGGATATCTCTGCCCTAGGGATGGGTATTGGTGTTGTCTACCTTTGTTAGTGACTCTTCCACAACATAGTACCTGTGTGTTTCTGGGAGGTGTAATAGTCCTGCATTTATTGACCATTGTGCTCCCAGCTTTCCACCTGGAGTCCAGCATTGATATAAAAGACACTGGCCACATTCCTTTTTCATGCGTACACTGTTGAGCTGCTGTCCTGGGGCATTGCTGGATGTCTTGTTTGGTTGTGAAGATGACTAAATGAAATCATCAAGGCAGAAGTTGTTACTTTAGCTCTGTGCTTTAAAGCTTAAGTAACAACAGACGCTGGAGAGAAGTGGAAGAGGGGACAGAGAAGAGGTGGGGGAGGGACTGGGAGGAGATGAGGGAGGGGGTATTGCAGTCTAGCTAGAAAATAAATACTTAGAAAAGTAGTACAGCTTAAGTGATATGCACAGTGAGCATGACAGGAAGGTCAGGGAACTGGCTTTTTCAGGGTTTGCAACACAGCAGCTCTGCCCATGATTGACAACTTCTTGGTTCTTTTTGTTTTGTTTTGAAGAAGGGTCCTCTCCAAATTTCCCAAGCTGGCCTTGAACTCACACTAATCTTCCTGTCTTAGTCTCACAAGTAAGTTTGGTTCCTTTACACTTGCTGAAGGCACTCAATGCCATGACCACTTTCCCTGAACAGTGTAAAATCAGATGAACTTTTCTCGTGACCAGTGCATTAAGCATGGATTGTGGGCTTACAGTGGAACTCTTGGTGCAGCTAGAAACCACTGTATAATGTGGATTGTGAGTTTGCAAGGTTCACATCACTGGACATTTGTACCCATTCCAGCATTCATCTTCAATTCCAGGAAAGTCTTTTAGCATTTGGTGTTTGTCAGATTAGATGGCACAACCTCTTGGTACTTGGCAGCCTGTACAGGAGTGAACCTCGGCTGCTCTAGCTCTGTGCAAACGCTGCAGTAACACTTGACCTGTCTGTGTTCTTCTTCAGCGCCCACTAGCTCTACTCCTAGTCGGTTGTGTCTCCACTGCACACGCCCCGCCCCCCCCCCCCCGACCTATGTTTGCTTGAAATCTAACATTTGTGTCCTAACCAAGGGTATAACATTTTCATCAGTTAGCCAGAGCCTTCAGAGCAGCACTGGACAGGCAGGGTCCCCTTATTTATATGATAAATATCTGGAAAAACAAGATTCACTTGTATGTTAGCCAAACAATACAATGTGTCTCTGCCTTTCTCCGAGTACTGATTTAATGTGGTGAAGAATAGAATAACAAGGGTTTTTTTTTTTCTTGATGTTATTTTGCTTAATATTTCCAGCAGTGTTGTTTTACCTTCTCCTCAGATGTGGATGGTAGAGAACTACATTGATTGCTTCTCTCCTGTGACTTTTTCGTCTGCTATAATCCTGATCTGATGGCTGAACTTCTACACACATCATTCCCAGACTACATAGGGCTTTCTTTCAGTGACTAAAATTTTCTTTTCCTTTTTAAAAATCTTCTGTAAGACATACATGATAACTGAATTCTATTTAAATACAAAACTAATTTTAAGGAAATTGTGGGGGAGTTTTTATTGTGTTTTCATGCCTCTAGAGCTTTGGAACTGAATTTAGAGCAAGGTTTTATCTTGTGGAAACCTACCTCTTCCCTGTGTTTGTTTAGTGCTGTGTGTGATGTAATGGGCCCACTGGGTTACTCTCTAGGGTGACACCTCATCAACTCCTCCTGCCCACTACCCCTTTTCACCTAAGACATATATTCTTCCTGACTCAGGGTAGATAAGCATATAAAGCAGGAATGCAAGCCAAGAATTTGTATTTTAAAACAACTCTTTGCTAAAGTAATTTTTCTATTTGTTACTGATTAAAGCAAATTTACATATTAATGAAATGCTGATGCTTACTTATTCTTACAGAAAGAATTAAGTCTTAACTTGTATTTGATACTGGATGCCATGAAGCATCTTCAACACTTTTAAGTTCAAATATCCTAACAATGCAATCCAAAGATACACTCTATTGTTACTTTTATGCCAAAGAACAACAGTAGGAAAATTTCGTAGCCTTTGTTTCCTGTAGTTCCTTTGTGTGCACAGTAAAAACATGGCCATTTCTAACATACACTGGTATTAAATCAGAACAGAGGTGTGACAGGCGCATCTGTCAGATGGTGTGGCCACTACATGTGCAGTGTGAAGTGTTTGTGTTGTGTTTGCAGAACAAAGCTTCAGGGACATGAGATCTGCCGGAATCACCGTAGACAGACTAACTGCAAAGTGTGTTGGGGGTCTTTGCGTGCTCAGATATCTTTTATTGTTGCCAAATTTTTCGTAACACCCATACAGTAAATTATGTGACCTCATACAAGGTGATGAGCCATAGTTTATGATGCTGTATTCTGAAGAGTATGAGTGTGTGCGTGTGCGCGTGGGTTGCGTACATGCATGCCTTCCTGCCTGCATGTGTGTCTGTTCTGGGAAGTGGGAAGTAAAATTAGAAAAGAACAAAATGAATTTTCACTGTTTTTTCCTTTGTTCTTTTTCTTTCTTTTATTGTTTGTTTGTTTTGTTTGTTTTTTCGAGGCAGGGTTTCTCTATATTGCTTTGGAGCCTGTCCTGGAACTGGCTCTGTAGACCAAGCTGGCCTTGAACTCACAGAGATCCACCTGCCTCTGCCTCCCAAGTGCTGGGATTAAAGGCGTGTGCCACCAACACCGGGCATGGATTCTCACTTATCCTTTCTCTTTTCACGTGTTAAGTCCTTGGGAACAATAGTACACGTTGTACTCGTTCATTTATTTTATGTGTATGAGTGATTGGTCAACATGTCTGCCTATCTGCACCATGTGCATGCCTGGTGCCTAAAGAGGCCAGGAGAAGGCATTAGCTCCCTCAAGGACTGGAGCTACAGATGTTTGGAAGCCTCTGTGTGAGCCACCTCTCTGCCCACGAAACAGTATTTTAATGTTTATACTGTAAGTAATTATGAGTTTTCCCCAACATATCTTTCACTTTGTGTTTCAGTTTGTCACTCATATCTTGTCCTTCGGTCCCCTTCCCTTTCCTTGTCTCCACAAACCAATCTTTGTAGTAGTTTCAGAGGACCACTGTGCGCCCAAAGCCCCCATGAAGCCAACAGCAGTAACCTCCTGCTAAAATTCACTCCATGTGCTAAGTCTTAATGTTCTCTCCTCTTATTTGTATGTAGGCTATTAGTCATCCTATCACGTTAGTTGTAAAACCCTGTCATTAGGTCACATATAATTTTCTAGGCCTATTGTCCTTGTTAGTACAATGTGGGAGGCAGAGAGAATACATTTCTAAATACCTGCCTAATCTGGAAAAAGGTGAGGAGGAAAATTAGTTTTGCAAAATCATTCTTTCCATTTTTCTTTTTTTGTAAAAAAAAAAAAAAAAAAAAAAAAAAGCTTAAAGTGTGCGTGCGTGCGTGTGTGTGCACACTCATTTTTTACATATTATTATTACACATATCTTGTAAATTTCCTACATAACTTCTTGATTACTTTATAAATAAATGTCCATATTGAAAACAACACATTTGTTTTTGAGATAGAGTGTCACACTCTGGCCCGGACTGACCTAATACTTACTCATCATGCAGCCCAGGCTGGCCTCAGCTTGAGTTGGTCCTCCTGCCTCAGCTTACTAAGTGTTAGCACTTGGTAATGTGTGCCACCATTTCTACCAAAATATTTTTATTTTACATTCAACTATAATATAAATGGATGGGATGCCAAACATCATAATTCTCATTAATTTGAATTAATCTTTTGAACATGTTAATAAGGGAAAGGAGTTGGCTTCTCATACCAAAGATGGCTTCTTTGTGGTATTCTTTGCTGTTTCATATTGTTTCTGAATAAAAATAAAGCTGACATGTTCAAAAAGGCATTGTTGATCAGTAGGGAAGAGATGTCATATTGAATAACTCTGGATTTGGAAGAAAGAGTAATTTTGAGGAAAAGTTGCATTTATTTACATGCATATGTAAATTATAGTAAGTTGTAGACGAATCTGAGTTATATACAGAGTTACACCATTGAAAATGTAGATTTAAGCCCTAGTGGCATGCACCTGAATCCCAGCAACTTGGAAAGCTAAAGCAAGGGGATCACTTGAGCCAGGAGGTTGAGGACAACTAGAACATTGCAAGACACATCTGTGCAAAAGTTGGCAGGAAGCCAAGTGGTGGTGCTGCACACCTTCAATCCCAGCAGAGTCAGGTGCATCTATCTGTCTCTAGTTCAAGGCCAGTCTGGTCTACAGAGCAAGTTCCAGGACAAGCTCCAAAGCTACACAGAGCAACTCTGTCTCAAAAAAACAAAAGCAAAAGGTGACAGGAAGAGAAAGAAGCCCAACCTAGATGCTGTCCACACATGGAATCGGGATACTAACCAGTTCCTTTAGATCCTAAGCTGCTGAAGAACTGTAAAAGGAAGGGAGCAAGTGTACGATGATGCATTTGTGTGCACCCATGGCTCTGTGAGCTTCACTTCAAGCCTGTTTACTCCACATTCACAGTCTGAAAAGTAGAGGCCTTTCTGTTCATTCCAGCTGGGGACCTTGTGCTCTGCACATCTGTGTATGGAATGGATTCAATCTTTACCTGAACCTTTATCCTATAGGTGCATCGAGAACTATACAGGAGCTCGCTGTGAAGAGGTTTTTCTCCCGAGTGCCAGCATCCAAAGCAAAAGTAACCTGTCAGCAGCTTTCGTGGCCCTGGTGATCCTAGTCACGCTCGCCATCGCAGCACTCTGCTTCCTGTGCAGGTAACTAAAGTGGAAACAGACCCTCACTTGCTACCGTAATTGTGCTTACGTCACACAGCCTCAGGGTGAGGTGTGTGTGTTTTTCTTTTTTTTAAAAAAATAAGTTTTGAATACTGAAGGCAAAGGGACTCGTGCAGTGTGTTAGAAGCTTAAGGCACATGGCTGACGTCTGGGGTCAGCCTTTTCTTGAGCACCTGTTATATGCCAGCCGACAGGGTAAAATGTTCCCTGAATTACATCTAGAGAGACAGATAGAGAAGCAGAAAGTTAAGCTGCAGAAACTGGTGACTGACAAGATCAGCAAAAGGAAAACTTACCGGTTGCAAGGCTATACATATATCAAAGGTTACTTGCATTGATTCCTTTTTATTGCTCCTCGATGTTTATTGAAGTTTACTTTTAAAAGCAAACATAAAATTAAGTTTATTAGTTATCTGTATTAATAAGTATTAAACACGCATTGGTTACACTCATGTGGTTATGAAAATGGAGCTGATGGCCATCATAAAACAATGCGAGTTGGCTTGAGAAGTTAATGTTCTAAGAATATCATGTTGATAACAGAAAATCTCATAAACCCTGATTAAAATTTGGAGGGGCTCTGCTCTTTTTATATGTGCATTATTATGTGTTTTATTTCAAGTTATCATTTAGGCAACCCAGTAGATCTTATCTCGTAATCTTTGCTTCTGAGTTATTCAGATAGAAAAATCTCACAAGCCCATTGCATCAGATTGTGTTTCTCGTGTGATCTCCCATTTGCATGTGTCCTTCCTCAGTGTGACCTTGCCACTCAACCAGCTGGAGGTTAGGGCTGGGGCTGTGTAGTTCAGCCATAGTGTGCTTGTCTGGCAGGCATAAGGTTCTGAGTTGCAATAAGTAGAGTTTCTTTCTTCCTTTCCTTTTCTTTTTTTTCCCCTGAGACAGGGTTCCTCTGTGTAAGAGCCCTGGCTGTCCTGAAACTCGATCTTGTAGACCAGGCTGGCCTCCAACTCACAGAGATTAGCCTACCTCTGCCTCCCAAGTGCTGGGATTAAAGGTATGCACCACCACCACCTGGCTAGAGTTTATTTCTTTAGCAGGTACTATGATTGCTTTAGCCATGAATATTGGGTAAATGTTACAGTTAAGAACACAGCCTGGCCAGGCATTAATGGCAACCTCCAGGACAACCTCCAGGAAACCCTGTCTCAAACAAACAAACAAACAAAACAAACAAACAAACAAAAAACACAGCCTTTAAATGGACTAAAAGCTTCATCTTAGTATCGGCCAGTATCTTGTAAGAAACCTAAGCAGAGAAAGAAAAGAGCTCCTGTTGGACTCAGCCAGCAGCAACTGCTAGCTAGCCATCTGGACAAGGCTCCCTAGATGTCCTGCTGTTTGGAGCTCTCAATTGGCTTGTACTATCTACAGGTTACCTGCAAATACACAGAGGCCCCAAAGAGGAAAAAAAGCTCAGTGGTCAACCAATAGAAGCATGAGAAAGATTTTAATGTGCTGAGTTTAGAGTAGCATTATTATGAAGTATCCGATGAATCATCTTGAGAATTCACTCTCAATGTACAAGTTTTGGGGAAACTCAAAATGACCTGTCCCAGAAGTGACACAGACACTGACAGAATCCCTTCCAAAAAGTGTTAGTAAATGCAGCTTGCCCATATGCTGTAAAGTAGAAAGCCAGAAGTAACTACACAGTAACTAAAGAAGGGGATCTAATACTTGATCTGGACTTGCTAAGAGTGACTTATGGAACTTTAATATTGTTACAGTTGTTGCAACTGGATTCCTTTACTAAGCTTTGAATTTGTAAAGGTAACAATGTAGCATCCTAAATGTTCCAAGTGCTACTGAGCCACAAGTTTTCATAAAAGTCACTCTGCAGGCTGGCGGCAGAATTCAGAAATCTTCTGATCTAAAGCTAGATGTAGTTCATGTTTGTAATTCCAGAAAATTCTAATCTTAAGTGCCCTATAACATGCTAAATAACTTTTATCCCAGGCACAGTGACTTATACCTATAATCTTAACACTTGAGATGCTGATGCAGGAGGATTGCTGTGAGTCCCAGGCAAGCCTGGCTATCAGGAGAAACCCTATCTCAAAAAGAAGCCCCTGAAGCCTGATCTTTAGAAAGTAGACATGTAGGTATGAGGACAGAAGATTACATAGAAAGCCAGTGTTCATTGAAAAAGAAACCTCTGAAGGCAGAAGTGGTGGCACATGCCAGTGGTCCATGGCTAGCCTCAACTGCTTAGAGAGACCCTGCCTCTAAAAACAAAGATGAAAAGAAAGAAAACTCTAATCACTAATGTTAAATGGATATTCATCCTGAGCCCATGGTGCTTCTAATGTCTAGTGGGGGAAAGGTCAAGTGTACAAAGTGGTCCAGACTGCAAATACTCTCAACTGATTGACAGAAACAAGTGCAAATTAGCTGCTGAAGAACCACTGTCATTCTTTACCTTAAAGGGCATCTCACAGTATAAGATTACTCACTGACATGGGAGAACAGAGGTGCCACTAATTACAACTAATCTTGGGAAAACTGGATAATGATCTCTTCTGATTCTAAATTCATCTTCCAGTATAGTATGCTAAGGAGAAGGCACGCTGATTAATTCCCTCATTATTCGCTGTACTGATGATTTAGAAATAGAATGTTCCTTTGATATTGATTGGTTATTGAACAACTTTATATAATATTAGCCGTGGCACTCTAGATATGGCTGTAGTAACTATGAGTTTGCTATGCCTCAAATGTATCCTCCAAATGCCATGCTACAACTGGCAGTGGAGCTAGGTGTTCAAAATATTTTTCTGTGGGGAGAATCCATCCCATGATATAAAATGAGTATGTTTAATATGTATGAAAAATAAATGGGAGCTGAAGGGATGGCTCAGTGGTTAAGAGCACTTGTTGCTCTTACAGAGGAACTGGGTTGATTCTCAGCATCCACATGGTGGCCCATCACAGCCATCTATATCTCTAGTTATGGAGGATCTGATCCCTTACTGAACTCCTGGGACACATGCATACATGCAGGCAAAACTCTCATACACAAAAATAAAATGTAAATCTAAAATTTTAAAAATAAATTATATATCTGCAGATTTTTGCAAAGGCCAATACAGAAATTGTAAAAATAAAACTAACCTTAAAAATTCAATATATTTTAGTTCAATATTGTTTTAAGTTTAGTTTGTGTTTTTAAAGAGACTAGAAACAGTAAGGGAAGGGATGAAGGAAATGGGGAGAGATAAAATGGAGAACACTAGAAGAGAGAGGAATGAATGGAAAGGTACCCCAAACCTAAGAAAAAAAGAATTGTAAAATAATTAAGGAAAGGTTAAAAAAAAAAAATGGCAAACAGAATGACTATGTCTAACTCATTTCCCCCCCCCCCCTGGAATTTGAGGGGGAAAAGACTTGGGACAGTGTTTGAAGAAGGTAGTAGCTGAGTCATTCAGAATTTGTAAGTTACACTCAGATTCAGCAAATGTCAAGCAGGTTAAAGAAACACACAGGTGCATAGCAAAACCTTATAAAGCACAGAACCCTGGTTCTAAGGAGAGAATGCTAGGGTAGAGCAGACAGCATTAGGCAGGAGGTGTGGGGAGAGACGAGGCACTAGTGATGTTTGCAGTGTGCTGAGAGCAGGTGACCAGCAGCCCCAGACCTCCGTAGCGGTGAAAACATCTTTCAAGACTGAGACAGAGGCCGGGCGGTGGTGGCGCCTTTAATCCCAGTACCTGGGAGGCAGAGGCAGGTGGATCTCTGTGGATTCAAGACCAGCCTGTGTTACAGAGTGAGTTCCAGGACAGCCAGAGCTACACAGAGAAACCCTGTCTAGAAAAACAAACAAACAAACAAACAAAAAAGAGGGAGAAATGATCATCGTAGACCTGTAGACCTTAGAGTTATTTCACAGTGAGCATTCTGCTCAAGGGCTGGAGAGGAACTGACTCTGCAGGGTGTATGTGAGATGCAAGAAGGAAGAATGAAGAAACAGTGTCTAAGTTTCAACAATAAAGATATCCTATGTGTTTTTAAGAGTGGACAATCCACGCAGCCAAGTGACCTTGACTTTGTATTTTCCTCGCCTCCACCTCTAAGATGCCACAATGGTGGCGTGTGCTAACACTCCTGGCCGAGTCTTGATGTTTAAACTGTCCATGAACATTGTTACTCTAACCCTTTCTAATAGACGTTTTATTTTATAAAGGTCTTAAAAGATGCTGGAAGCCTGAATATATAGAAAATGGATATGAATTTAATTTAGAAATACCATTTGTCTTATAAAATAACATGTCAAAATGATTTTCAGGTCACGCAGAAATGTGCTTGAAATCACATATTTTCTCTTGGTATGTGTTCATGTATGTGGGAGTGTGTGTACACATGTGTGTACAGGCGAAAGAACAGTGCCAGCTGTCATTGTCCAAGTGTTGTCTACCTTGCTTGGCCTGGAACTCACCAAGTGGCCTAGGCTGCCTGGCCTCGGGTCTGCCTCTCTTGCCTCCCCAGCTTGACGAGCAAGGGCACAGCACCACACTCAACTGTTATGGGTTCAGGTTTGGGTTCTGGGTCTCCCCATGCTCACAAGGCAGGCACTTTACCAGTGAGCTATCTCCTCAGCTCTTTTTTCCACTTTTAATGACAACTTGAGCAGAGGTAACACATGGCGTAACCACATAAGGAGAATCAATGTGGTCATGATTGCTCATGAGATCTAGGCTTCCTGCTGTTGTCTACTGACTTTGTGTAGTGTTTCTGGGCTTAGAAATGTTCTTTCAAGAGTGAAACTAAACCAGACATGGTAATGTGGCCCTGTGACCCCAGCTCTTGAGAGGTGATAGTGTGTCCCTGTGATGCCATAACTTGGGAGACATAGACAGATAGGAAGGTTACTGAGTTCTAGACCTGCCTGGCATACAAAATAAGACCCTGTCACAAAAATAAAAGGAGGAAGGGGGGGGGTCTGGAAAGATGGCTCAGTAAGAGCACTTGCTGTGCAAACATGAGGATGTGAGTTTGAATCTCTAACACCCACATAAGATCTGGACATTGCTGCATATGCTCATAACTCCAGCGTTTGGGGTTGGGTGAAGACAAGTGGGTTCAGCTTACTAACCAGCTAGCCTAGCTGAAATGGTAAGCTTTGGGTTCAGTGAGAGACCCTGTTACAAGGGAGTAAGGCTCAGAGTGATAGAGACACCTAACCTCCTCCTCAGGTCTCCACAGGGCAAACGTACAACACACACAAATACACACACACATGCACATACAAACACACACTCACATGCACACACACACACTCATATATACACATGCGTGCATACACACATACATGCACACACACATACATGCACATATACAAAAATATAAATAAATACACATGAATGTACACACACATGCACATATATACACATAAATACACACATACACACATATATATACCCACACATATAAACACATGCACGCACATACAGATACACACACATGAGTGTGGTAGAATATTTTTTTAAGGTGTGTGACTTTTGTTTATGTTGCATTTGTTTAACTGGCTGAAGCTGTGATTCTTTGCCTGTCTAAAACATCTGATTGTTTAATAAATAGCTGAACAGCCAATAGCAAGGCAGGAGTAAAGATAGGCAGGGCTTGCAGGCAGAGAAGATAAATAGATGGAAAAGCCAGGAAGGAGAGAGGAGCAAGAGAATAAGGAGAGGAGGACATCAGGGGCAGCCACACAGCCACACAGTAAGAAGGAAAGTAATATACACAGAAGCAAGAAAAATAAAAGCCCAGAGGGAAAAGGTAGACAGGATAATTTAAGAAAAGCTGGCAAGAAACAAGCCAAGCTAAGGCCAGGCATTCATAACATATAATAAGCCTCCGTGTATGATTTATTTGGGAGCTGGGTAGTGGGCTCCTCAAAAAAGCCAAAAGAATAAAGAGTAAAAGAGCAAAAACATCCAACAATACACACACAATGGCAGAGAGGAAAAGAAAAGGAGAGGGAAATGTTTAATAAATTAAAGAATGAAAACAAACAAAATTATAACAGAACCTACTGGTGGTTGAAATACTTTTGACCTGAGGGCCTTTTGGATTTTCTGTGACTTAGAAATGATGCTACTTGAATGGGGTCCAAAACAGCCCCCAACCCTCAATGCTAAAATGTCTGCTAGAATTGGCATTTTAGGGTAAAGGCCAGTGTGCTTTTACAAAGTGTCATGTTGCTATGGCTAGATGATATGGATTCACTTTCACCAATGTAAGTTAATACATTGAGATTGGTGTATTGGAAAAAAAATAATGCACCTTTACATTTCAATTTTCATTTACTATTTAAAGCAGTTCTATATAAGGCTATAATCAGATGACCCAAAGAAATGGTATTTTAATGTCATGAACTAGAATTGTTCACTAAAGCCACCCATGGTACATAAAGGGTCCACAATGGTGGGATGTGATCCCTCTTACAGAAGCACCTGTGATACAGCATCTAGGCCATGCTGTAAGCTCATCAGCACCCTGGGTGTCTCCACCGCCTCTGCTGGCGAGTTGGTTAAAAGAGGGCACAACATTAGAGCAGCCCTACGGTTTCAGGTAGTTCTAGAAAAAGAATGAGCTTCCAAATATGGGAGCTTAATTTCTTTCTGACACTCATGAGTTTTCTAATTACCCGTTTTCCATTTGTATTTCTCTCCTCTTTTATGCCAGGAAGGGCCACCTTCAGAGGGCCAGCTCAGTCCAGTGTGAGGTCAGCCTGGTGGAGAGAAGCACTACCGGTCCCCATCACAGTGAGTACACTCAGAATGGAGTGCTGGGAGGTACTGGTGAGATCCTTGTTCTATTATGTACAGATTTGTGTTCACAGACATCCAATCTTCGGTGACCCTAAGAATTTTCCTGCACATTTTGTGTTAATCATTATTTTTGTACATGAGGATAAATTTATTAGCAATGTGACATAGTATTTTTCCCAAAATAAATATGTGAAATTGCATAAATTTTAACCCTTGAAATGATGCCATCAGCTGTAATGTGCTATGGCAGATCTGAAGAACAGGGTTCCAGAAGCATTCTGAGGTAGGCTGTGCTAGGAAGGCGGGGGCAAGGAGTTACCTTAGGAGTGAAGGTCTGTGGGAGAAATGTGGACAAATCAGTGTTTTAAAGATATCTTGAGATTTCCGGCTAAAGTAGAACAGTAAGCACTGGATTTCCTTCCTCTTACTTGAAAACATTGAAAAATGAACAAACTGTGAAGCAACAGTTGTCTTCTGGTGTCAGTATGCATTTGCATCTGTGTGCACAGAAACAGGAAGACCTCTGGGGTTTGCTGGTCACATAATCTTTCTGTATCAGTAAGATCCGGGCTTAATGGGAAACCATATCTCAAAAAGTACAAATAATCATGGAGGAGGAAGATGACAGGAATTAGTAATATCAACAACAGAAATTAGATGACATTCCTACCAGTATGACAATTGGGGTGATAGACAACTTCTTTGAGGAACAGAAAGTACTGGAGAAAGGTTATTTGAGGGGCTGGGGCTGCAGCTCATGGGTAGAGTGCCTGCCAAGTGTGCAAGATGTCCTGGTTCTGTCCTCCACATTGCATAAAACCAGGGACAGTTATGTGCACCTACAAGTCCAACACTTAAGAAGAAATATAGACAGGGCGATCAAAAGTTCAAGGATATTCTCAGCTACAATGAGGTCAGCCTGGGCTACATAGTACCCTGTTTCAAAAAAAAAAAAAAATCTGAAGAGTAATACGATTAGTAAAAAGTTTTCTTTTAAAAAAAGATAATTCAAATAGTTCCATATCCATTGATTGAATTTGTACAGAAGCTTTTCTTCAGTGACAGTCCAGACCCAAATAGCTGAACTTATGCCAAACCTCCAATGAAGAACTAAATAATCTACCTAAGTTCATCTAGAAATATTAAAAAGAGACCAGCTTTATAGTTTAGCAATGTTGCAGGAGAGGGAGTTAATATTAAAACTAAAGTATTTTTTATATGTGAGAAACTGCTAGATACAGAAGCTTTTAAAACAACACACCATGTGTAATAGCATCTCAAAGTACATAAGAGTAGTGGGGGAAAAAAACGTGAAAAATAGTGAAAGACGCTGTAGTGGTCTGGATGAGATGGCTCCCATAGGCTCGTGTGTTTGAACATTTGGTCAGAAGTTGGTGGAACTGTTTGGAAAGGGTTCTGAGGGTTGGCCTTGTTGGAGGAGGCATGGCACTGGGAAGGGACTTGGAGGTTTATAGAGATTCATGCAAAGATGAATCATGAAAAGCAAATCGGTAACTATTTGATATACTGGACTGTATGCAAGTGACAAATCTCTACGCTTCAAATGATTCCACTGTAAAATGAAACGCAAGGCACCAAGTAGGAGAAAATACTGCAAACCAGAGATTTGACAGATGACATAAAATACACAAGAACTTAACTGAGCATTGGGGTGCACACCTTTAATCCTAGCACTTGGGAGGCAAGGGCAGATGGATCTCTGTAAATCTGAGGCCAGCCTGGTCTTCTCTTCAGAGTAAGTTCCAAGACAGCCAGGCTGTTACACAGTGAATATCTCTCTCTCTCTCTCTCTCTCTCTCTCTCTCTCTCTCTCTCTCTCTCTCTCTCTCTATTTAAGTTGAAACAAACTCAGGAAACAATTGAAGTAAACTATGGGCATTTTTCCAGAGAAAAGACACAAATGGCTAATAAGCACATGAAAATACTTAGCATTGTAATCCATTAAAAGATTGAAAAACCAAAATGAAATACCAATTAACACAGTAACTCTAATGTGATCTTTTTAAAGTTTGTGGGATATGGGAAAACACATTTCATTGTTGTAACTATAAAATGGTATGGACAGTCTCTTAAGGAACAAGTTTGTATGATCCAACAATTCCCTCCTAGTCAACCACCCAAGTAAATGAAAATTTTGGTTTGGATGATGAACTCAAATGCTCACAACAGCATTCCTCCCTGTAACCAGGGAGTGGAAACCACCCCAAACCCCATCGCTGTGCCGGTAAAAGGGGCAGTCATAGTTGTACAAGCACAGCACATGTGCTCATACTGTCACATGATCAGAGTCACTTGTGCTGTGTGGTAGAAGTTTCGGAATGCCCTGTGGGCATTAATATAAAAATATTAAGATAGGTGAGTGAGTTCCTAAGGTTTGAGGTTGGAATAAGTAATGACTGCAGATAGCCCTGAAAAATATCCCCAGGGTAATGGATATGTTTAGAAACTGGGTCATGGTTGTGGCTTTATGACTACATTTTTGATTATGAGCCTAGCCTTTAACGTCTGAGCCATCTCTCCAGCTCAATGACTACATATTTTTTTAAGCCAGTGAATAGTATATACAGGTGAATGTTTTAAGTTGTGGGTTATATCTTAGTAAACTTGCTAGAAGTCAAATTTTCAACTAACAATACTAGGCTGGATATATATGTACTAAAAAATGAGGCTACACCACTACCACCATCTACAACATGAACTCAAAGTGGATGAGAGAAACTACATATAAGACCCAAAATTGCAAGGCTCAGAAAAACCAGAGAAGTGCTCTATAGAGTTGGACTTGGCAATGATTTCTTATAACACCTAAACAGAGTCAACTAAAACATTTAGATAAACTGGACTTTATCAAAACCAAAAGCTGATGAAATTAAAGGATACTGTCTATAAAGAGGCAGTCCACAGAGCAGGATAAAAGGCGTTCAACCCATGCAGCTCCTGGATTTAATATAGAGAAGTCATCTCGTGTACATATGTGTGCATGGAAACAGACAGGAGACTTTTTTGAGGGGCGTGGGACTTCCTTGGGAAAATGTAAAGGACATCTGTTTTCCTCAAACAAGAGCAGACTGACCTAAGAGAGAGTCTGCCAATTCAGCTTGGCATTATCAATGAGTTCATTAGGATTGCCTCTAGGGGCCTCACAGGCACACCAAAGAGCGAGGTCCCACTCTTGAAGCTCCAGTTCTGTATGGTTCCCAGTTGGCAGCAGAGTTGGTACAAACCTGGGCTCAGAGTGCTACCTAGTGTTAAGTCAGGAGAGGTGACTGCAGGCTCGGGCACAGACAAAGCAGATCTTGGAAGCCTAGCACCTATGTGGATGCTGCCTTTCCTCTTACAGAGCTTTGCTGGTCTCAGCAAACACCAGCCAACTCTAGAAAGACACGCAGAACATTTAAAAGGTATCTTACTATGATGGGGTCACTCTGCCAGCGCTCAGGGGACTAATCCCACTATAGACAGGAGGAAGCAGGGCACTGCAGGGTGCAAGACATGGAAGGCAGTTGAGGGGCAAATAAAAGCAACATGCAATGATACATGCATATGAAAATGCCATAGTGAAACCTGTTGTTTTAATAGAAACTTAATAGCAAGAAGTAATCCTGAGTAAATAACTCATAACAAATAAAAGCAGCCCAGTTTGAAAATTGGCAGAGGATTTCAATAGACATTGAAATAGAGTATGTGATGAGTTCAGCATCCACTGGCTGCTGGGGTCATAAAAAGGGGGGTGTGGACCCCTCACACATTAGGACAGTGGCTGTTTAAAGGCCATATGTTGGCAAGGATGTATAGAAACTGGAACCCTTATGTATTGCTGGTAAGAATATAAAATGTTATAGTCACCATGATAAATGGTGTGACAGGTCTTAAAACAAAACCACAGACTCACCACTTTATACAACTGTTGACTACTGGGGGTTATATGCATGAGCAAATATTTGTACACCCACATTCATAGGAGCTGAATTAGCCATAGTCAAAAGGTGGAAAACCACTCAGCTGTCCAGTGATGTATGAGTGGATAAAATAAGTGGATGCATATAAATGGAGCATTACTTATCCTTAAAAGGGAATGTAATTCTACAATACAATACATTATGCTAAGTGAAAAAGCCAGTCGCCAAAGCAAGCACTGTGTAACTCCACTAAGATGAGATGCTAGAGCAGTGAGACCCCCAGAGACAGAAACTGTAACTGTGGTTACCAGGGACGTGGAGAGAATTGTTTAATGTGTAGCGTTTTAGTTTGGGATGACAAAACGTTTCTGGAGATGATGGTTGTTCCTATTATGTAATTTTACAATGAAGTCAACTACAGAGAAGGACACAGCATCATTAGTGATGTTATCGGATGACACACTAAGCTTTCATGTATTCAACACGATCAGTTTCAAGACACTAAGAGAATGTGTCCCTTATTGTGTCACTTTGTGGCAGCTCTCCTTAGTGGTTTCAATGGTTGTCTGGCCTTGGTTTACTCTGGAGTGATGATGTCTGGAGTCACATTCTTTGGTAATATACTTGATGGTGAGCCGACCAGTCAAAGTCCTCAAAGAAAACGCCAAGGCCTTATCATTGTGCTGTTAGCTGGGAAGGTTAAAACAAACAGGCCAATCCAAAAGGGCGGTGTGGGGAAACAGTGCTCTGCATGTGTGTCTGTGTGAGGGCATCAGATCCCCTGGGACTGGAGTTCAGACAGTTGTGAGCTGCCGTGTGGGTGCTCGGAATTGAACCTGGATCCTCTGGAAGAGCAACCAGTGCTCTTAACCACGGAGCCATCTTTCCAGCCCAAAATGAATATTTTTAAGTGGGAGAAAAAAGGTAGTAAAACTATAACAACAATCAAAAGCCAAGATAGGATGAATATTGGGCTTAGTTTACAAAGTTAACTTATCTGACCAGGCGTCTCTCTGAGGCCAAACGACATTAGTTCTAAGGCCATAATTTAGCAAAAGAGATAAGGTCTGTGTGGTAAGAAAAAAGCTGGACTCTGAGATGAGCCCAATATAGACAGTAAGACATGCTCAACAGCCTCAGTGCAGACCTGTGTTAGGAAAATTATAAAAGTCAGAGGACATATTCAACCACAGTGATGAAGGACACCACCCTTAAAGCCATATTCAGTCTGTCAGGGACCGGAACAGGTAAATTCTGGGATGCAGACCTCTCGGTAACTCTCCTTACTAGCTTGGTAAGAAAACCCACAGCTTCAAGCCCCGGCACATATCACATTGTTCATGTCCCTGAGGCCCATGACTTAATCATGAGTTCCTGTGCGCCGCCACTGTGGCTGTTTCAGATGTGACAACTTCCAAGAGTCTGAAGTGGGTGGTACTTTGTATACAGAGGAAAAGGGAGGCTCAGATGTCAAGCTTTTGCATTTGGACATTAGTAGAGCAAGAATTTAAGCTTAGATGTGTCTGGCTTCCCAACCTGTGTCTTTCTTTCATTTTTTAGGAATGAGGGTGTGCAGAGGTCACAGGACACTAGTATGGAGTCAGTTCTGCTCCTTGCATGGCTGGGCTGTGTTGCTGGCCTCCATACCCATGTTCCCTATTGCACATGGCCTTCCACAGGTCCTTGGGGATTGCTGGTCAGAGCAGCTTTGTCCCCAGGATTCTCCTGTCTTTGCAGTTGATAATTTTTTACAATGTTTGGTGTCTGCTTCTGTCTTTGCTATCAGCGACTCGTTCTAGCACCACCATCACCACCGCCACCCCGCCGCCCTTTGTAATTATGATTATTTTAGACCAATCACTAAGCTTGTTATAACCTTAGGCAGCAGAAAGAGTGCAGGAAGGCAGGGGTGTACATTAGAGACTAGCATGGCGATTCTGACACACTGTGCACAGGTGCTGCATGTGTGGATGTCTGTCTGAGGTAAGTTCACTGCAAATCTTCTGCCACCAGCGGAATTGTTGGGTATATACATGTAGATAAGAGGGTAGATGGGTGTGTATATACAGAAAACCGAGTGTGCAAGTACAGTCTTACCTTCTACAGGTCACAGAGATCACTGAAGACACAGCCAGTGAAGGTCACTATTGCGGTCACTTCACACAGCATAAAGGGAACCGTATCGTGAGAGAAGGTACACCTTAATTCTCCTTTCCTTAGACATAAGGCTTGGTAGACCATCCTAATCAAGGTAGCCTGTTTAGGGGAGAGGAAGCAAACATTGCACACAATCTCTCTAGCACTGATGGGACAATCAAAATGATAAAAATCCTAAGCAATGTCCAAAGAAAGAAAAAAGATGAAAGTTTGTTTAGTGAAAGGAATATTTATTTAGAGCATTATAAAACACCTCATCCAGCCAGCTAGTTCTGGTGGCCCATGCTTTTAATCTCAGAATTTGAGGCCAGCCTGTTCTACAAAGTGAGTTCCAGGACAGCCAGGACTGTTACAGAGAGAAACCCTGTCTCAAAAAAACAAAATGAAACACCCCACTTCACTGTTGGTTACTGAAGGAAGGAGGGAAGGAAGAAAAAAGGAAGTCCATGACTGCTCCTAGGTATGGTGGAGAAGAAGATTTATTGTAGATGAAAGGGAGAGCATAGTTAGAGGCAGGGACATCTGGGAGAGTCCAGGGTGACATGACCCCCCCCCCCCAAGCCGGGACATGGGAGAAGGGAGAGAGGAGAGCCAGACTACGAGGCCAGGAGGTAAAGGGTAGACCAAAGACCAAATGTCTGGACTATATAGCAAAGAGCCTTTGTGGGGAAGGGCACCCCAGTCCCTGGAGAAGTTTAAGGTAGGGGGCAGGATATTACAGGCCTACCTTATAACAGGTAGCGCCTGAGGAATGCAGGGAGAACCTGGTAGCCAGGTCTGCTTTGAGATGATGAACAGGCACCTCAGTTAGCTATTTGTCCCAGATTTGAGAGCTATCAACTATCTGGAAACACAAGCTAGAGTCTGAGAGGAGGGAACTTCAACTGAGAAACTGCCTCCAGAAAATCAGATTGTAGGCAAATACGATGGGAAAGGTACACCAGAAGAGATTTAGGATTGCCGTTGTCACCTCAGGTCTTGCTATCATAGGGTTCCCATTGCTGTGATGAAACACTTGGGGAGGAAAGGGCTTATTTGGTTTGCATATCCTGGACCACAGTCCCTTGTGGGAAACCAAGTCGGATTTCAAGTCAGCTGGGAACCTGGAGGCAGGAGCTGATACAGAGTTCATGGGGCAGTGCTGCTTACTGCCATATTCCCATGCTTTCTTATAGAACCTAGGACTTCCAGCCCAGACCCAGCATCTCCAGCTCAGGGGTGTCCCCACCCACGATGGGCTGGACACTCTCCCGTCAACCACTAATTAGGAAAATCTCTGGTTCACTTCCCAGTATTTGACTTTTCTTGATGCTGTTGCTCTGATATTTGACTGTTCAAGTATATAAATGTTGGTGGTTTCCTGTGTTGACCTTGTACCTTAAAACTATGAGTTTTTTTTTTGGTTCTGACAGTCTTGTGGAATCTTTAGTTTCCTGTGTGTAAGATCATATAGTCTGTGAACAGATAATTTCACCTTTGTCCAGTTTGATGCCTTTCTTTCACGTGTTTAGCTGCTCCAGCCAGTCCTTGTTGACTAGCAACAGTGCAGATCAGTATCTTCCTTCCCATCCTACAAGAATTGCTTCCCCACCAGATTGGAAGTTTGTCATGGGTGTTCTCATGGTGGCTTTTATGTTGACGTCGTAGTTCTTCTCTACTTCTAATTGGTTTTTTACAATTACAGAGGAATGATTTTTACCAAATGGCTTTCCTGTTTTTCCTTGAAAACCAAAGTGCTCTGTTGTGCAGTGATTTGTGTCACTCTGTCCTACAAACCCTCCATGCTGGGTTCACATGTTTATGTTCTTCTTATTCCAGCCTTCAGCTTTCTTTCTCATTGTTCTTCCTGTCCCCAGTGGCCTCTGAGTCTCTGGTGAAGTCATTTTTTTTTTTTTTTTTTTTTTTTTTTTGGGGGGGGGTTGGCTTTTCACAATCCTTTCTCTTAGTGGACACTGATTCCCTTATCTTCCTGTAGCTCCCATGAGCATACTGAAGTCTCATTAGAGAATGTACCAGCCTATGTTGCTTGCTTTTCAATTAAGTGTTCAAACTCAAATGCATGCCCCAGCGTGTTTCTCTGTTCCTCTGAGTACCTGTTACTTTCCATTTTGGAAAGTCATTATTTTAACAGTATCACCCCCTACCCCACCCCACTATATCTCAAGGTTTGCTGATTTTTTTTTTTTTTTTTAAACAAAATATATCACCCACTTGCGTTCCCAAACCTTTTACATAAGTGCCCCCTTTTTGTGTGATCCTTTAACACCCCGTCCCTTTTTACATTTATACAGCAATCCCCCCTTATGACAGTTATTCACTGAGCTTAGGGAGCAGACAGTTGAAAGGTTGGCGTGTTGGATCTTTAGAACAAGAGATGCTGTTCTAAATCCTCTGTACATGTGCTTGCTTTATACAACATCCTAACTTCCCAGTGTCTGTCTTTAAAGGGGCAGCTTTACATCTCCAAATCCATCTTCTCTTGACTCTGGCATTTGTTGATCCTTGCAACATTTTACAAGCAGTGCCCACCAAAACCAAAGAAATCCAACCAAGCAAGCACCTTGTATTAGCACCTCAGGTATGTTGCTAATTGTTTGTAGCAGGGCCTCTTAAAAGAGCAATATAGTTTTTGCCACTAATGCTGAGTCAGGAAGACTCTCTTAAAGGAGCCACAAGGCCATGCTTGTCTCTAGCAAACAGAACCCACCTGAAAAATCGCTGCTACCAAGAAGCCATTCTTGATTTTGTTCTTTTGTTTCTAAAATCGCTTTTTAAGCTTTTGTCAGGTTTAACATGGAAATTCATGTCCCACGATGCTGGTGCCATTTTGTTGCTGGAGTTTCTTATCCTCCTGGTGCAAATTTTTGCCCTGTAGAACAGTCTAGAAATAGGCATTGTACGGTCTATTATGGAGGGTGCAATGTTAGTATAGACGCCTAAGGTTTCTGTGGTCCTCTCCACAATGGAGTACTGACTTCTCCGCAGTGTCTAAGGTGACTCATGACCTGCCCACATTCCCAGCAGTAAGGAGAAAGGGGCAAACAAAAGTCACGCCATTGCTACAAACACATAACACAGGAGTACTGAGAAATATAGGCATGTAAGTAAATGAGTAATTGAAGAGCCAGGTGTCCATCGTAGCATGCTCTGTAAGCTCTGATGCTCAGGGGAAACTGGCATCTTACATCTCTCCCCCATCTCCAGATTCTCACTGAGAAAAGAGAAGTTTACATCCATCAAAAGCAATACATAGACTAGTTGAGTGGGTTTTCAAGTATATTTTATTGGTATAAAACCAAAATATGGTGATATAATTTTCAGAAGTGTGTGAAAAACTTCAGTCTCTTTACTGTGAAGAGAAAATGCTAACTTACCTAAGAGCAACTTCTTTATCGGTCAAGTAAAAAGTAGTATTTGTTACAGCTGCTGAGAAAAATCAAAAGGCAGGAAAAGACTCAACATATCTCTTTATTAAGGGAAAATAAAGTCATGATTGTGCTAAAAGTTCTCCCATAACAAGGTCTTCCGCCTCCATCTTCCTGGTGGCCTCCACCACCTCCCAGGTGCTGGGTCACAACAGCTTTGCTTGCGCCTGACACCAGCCTCACTTCTTGATCTGTGTGTACAAACTGTCCATCTATATATTAAACGTGATCTCAGGGCCTGACTCAAAGCTAAATACACAAGGAACTAGTTTTGTTTAAAATACTCACGTCCCAAGTTTCTATTTTTCTGAAAAAAGGCAAACCCCACAGCTCCATCCTGTGAGTGGCACTATCAACAAACAAGACAGCTTATTTAGAGGTCCCCAGATGAACGAGCATCATGATGGTTGTATAGCTGTGGAACAGGTCCTCTTCCTTTACCTCGTTACACCGCCTCAGTATAAAGTTCCCAGTGACTATCCGGTCACACCCAATCTCCCCATTTCCAAAGAAGCCGAATAAGGGGACGCTGGGAAAAAACTTTCTAAATGCGTCAGACTCCACATTGCCCTTGGCTCTGTAGTACTGGAAGCCGCGGCCAATGCACGCGAACATGAAGCCGATGGTGTTCTGTTCGGGGATGTTGGCTGCTTTGAGGCGTTGCATGGCCGCCTCTACAGTCTTGTCATCATTCACATCCTCATTGAGGAGAACCGTGGCACTCTGGATTCTGTGCCCACTGAAGGACAGTCCAACCACACCCGCGGCATCAATATCCAGAGGGTTCCTGAGAACAAGAGAGAAAACTATCATCAGCTCCTGATTAAGGGAGGAGAGATCTGCTCCCTTTGGCGAGTAGGCTTTAGTTTGAGATGTATCCTCTCAGACAGGGATTTTTTTTCCAGCCACAAATACAAAAGCTCTTCTGGGTTAGTATCTAGTAACTATCTCTCTGACCCTTCTAACTGGAACCTGGTGGTTTATGTATGCAAAGACAGACATACATCAGCTTGGGAGAGGTGGTGCTGGCAAGTACTCTGACACTGATACCATCCCCATCCCATGACATCTACATAAAATATGATTTACATCATGGTATCTTCCTTCCCACCCCATCCACTGTTAATTACGAAAGATACATTAAGGATGTACGCATATATGGGCCAGGTGTGGTGGCACACACATTTAATCCCAGCACTCAGGGAGGCAGGCAGATCTCTGTGAGTTCCAAGTTTCTTACTAAACCAAACAAAAATATAATCATGGAGGATAATTTTCAACTCCTCAGGCTTAGCTCTGTGTTGGCTAACCTTTTAAAGATTGCAATGTTTTCTGTCTTGTTTATTGCTTGGAGCTTGAATTTGAATTTTAAAACTTCACAACTTGGGGTGGGGTGAGGCTAGAGAGGTGGCTCAGAAGTTAGGAGCATGTTCTGTTCATACAGAGGTCCCAGTTTGATTCTCAAGTACCCACAGGAGGCAGTTTTCCGCCTGTGACTTCAATACCTCTCTAGTCCCCGAGGGCACCGAATTCATGAGCAGACACATAAAACACATTACTAAATTGTTAAAACCCTCTTCCCATTCCATTGGTGAGCATGCACGGCATATGGATGGAGAGCAAAGGAGTCCTTTCTCTTTCCACCTTGTGGGTCCCAAGGATCGAATGTAAGTTAAATCAGCCCTGCTAAGACTTTTTAATCAAACATTTTCTTAACTAGAAAAACCCCACTGCATTATCAGTAAAAAATTATAAAGCATATAATGAACACCCACTGGGAAGAAACACACACCTCAAGTCCCTATTAATCAACAACTGAATTGATAGAATGCACAAGATTCTCTGGGTTAGCAAGAAACTAAGATGGTAAGGCACCAGTGGTGCATGTACACACACAAAATCTAGTATACAGTTCTCAAAACTGAAGGCCAAAGAATACCAGTAAGGTTCCCACAGGCTGTTGTTCTGAACTCTTAGAGCCTGACAAGTTTTGCCATGAATATTTGACCCATGTGTGTCAAGGAAACATGGAAAAACTTTAAATGGCTACAATCTGATCAAGAGAGATCATCTTTGAGAGGTTAAAGTTCGCTTCAGATACGAGCATTCCATCAAGTGGCTGTTTAGAAAGATTGGCTTACTGCAGCCCCTCCCCTGTACAGCTTAGATTCCTTCCACGCAGGGCCACTGCAAACTTTAAAAAACAAGCTGCTTCAACCTCACCTCAGTTCCCCTTTTCCTTTAAACACCTCTCCCAACTCTATATTGAAATAAAAGTCACATGCATTTATTTTAGCCTTATTAACGACCCCTTCATTTGCAGGAGCAACATCACAAGGAGGACCAGACTATAAAATATATCAACAGGCAATGCTGACGGAGCCCAACCCTGATGTTCTTAAAGGACAATAAATGCAAGTTAGTTCCTTGCCTACAAACAGAATTGTGTTCAGACAGTCTCTTGGCAACACCAAAATGAATGAACAGGTACATAGCAATTCCTTTCCTTTTGTATTTTTTTGAGACAGGTATCACTTTGTGTAGCCTTGGCTGGTCCCAAAATCATCAGTGTAGACCAGGCTGCCCTGAATTGAAGAGATTCTCCTCAGAATACAGGGATTAAAGGTATATACAGTGCCACACTCTGATTTCTCAAATTTGTTTGTAAAAACCCCAAGTAATGAGAACCTGAAATCGTTTCCATTCACCCATGAGAGAAGAGCAAAGTGCCCAGGCTTACTTCTCACAAGTCAGTGAAGACAAGTTGTCCACCTGGCCTCCAGCCAAGATGATATTCATATTGCTGAAAGTACTGACTACTCGATGCAGATAATTACTGGCTCCCACCTTACAGCAGTTATAGCCAAAGACAAGGACCACACGAAGCTCAGGGTTATCCAAAAGACCTGCAGAGAAAGAAGTGAGACACAAGACAGCCTTTAAACAATGAGCTGTAATTAGTCCTGCTTACCGGCACCACTGGGTGACATGCAAGTGATGATGTGCTTCATTTTCCATTAATAAAAAATGACTAATCTAGTCAATGCCTCACACAAGCAAGGACACAGACTGAACAGCAGCCCTAGGGGACCATGTTAGGGGGCTCTGAAACCCAATTCCATGCATGCCAGTGACCTAGAGTTTATAATGTGGTCTAAAAGCAGCTCTACCACTAGCAGCCAGCAAGGGCTCAAGGGAGCCAGCAGTGCCTCATTCCCAGAGCTCCAGGCTTCCAGCCGAGTCTCCAACAGCCTGTTTTCACTGCATTAATCTAAAGCCACCAGTATTTCAAACAGGTGGTTTCTGGGACAGGAAGAAAATGCAGTCCCTAACTACACCAATATTTCCATTTAACTCAGCCACATGACTTCCATCAAACAGGAGTGAGGCTCACTCAGCAAGATTGAAGCAGGCCACACCATAATGCTCAGGCTGGGCTAATGAAGAATGAAGAATCCCGGTACATTAACACCCAACCCCACACTACTGCACTAGAGTTTTATCTTACCAAATGTAAGCCTGTCCTGCAACCAGAAACCCATCCTGTGATTCCAGTTAAATCTCTTAGCAATCCTTTAATGACAGAGCTTTTGTAGAGACAATGACATGTGACATTTTTTTCTAAGCAGCTCATATCCACTTTCCCTGAATGTCTCTCAACCTCCATACTGAAATGTATATTTAAAAATCTCTTAATAAACTCCAACTCTACTACACAGCAGCTCATCCTGGAATTCTTTTCTGTGCTGAAATCTAGGAAACTTGACCTTCAGGTCACAGCATGGAGTAATATCTCCACCCTAATGCAGCTGATAAGACAATCAATTATGGACAAATAACACTTTAGACTCTGCCCCTGGCCCAGTTCTAATTCTCCACATGGTTAAACCACACTGTGCATCCCAAGCCAGTTCTGGAGGGTCCCCCTTCTTACAGATAGGCCTGACATTGAGAGGGAACCCTTTTCTTTTGTAGAACAAATCTGAGTAGGAAGAAGCCTATGGAGCAACAGTTAAGTCTAGGTTAGGAAGAAGAGTGTCACTTCTAGGGAAGTGACTAGCTTGGGACAATGGCATGGCCATTCAAGAGAAGTCAGTGTGAAGAGACTCTGCAGGAGATATGCACCTGACACCAACCTCTGGTCTCCACACAAATGAATCTGCAACATACAAGCACACGGAAAAAGGAAAAGTTGTCTCAGTGAAGTCTGGAAGCTACCCCAAAGCCCAAGCTTGTAAACAGTTCCACTGCAGGAACAGAGTGCCTGCACCTGTCCAGGCCTCTTCTACACTGAGGCCATGTGTGGTGCTCCCAGCTTTAACTGTCCACACCTTAATGCTCTGTTCCATCCCTTCCACTAGGCACTCCTCTTACTATCCTGTTTACACTGCCCAGGACAGTGTAAAAGCTGTTCTCAGTGTGTATTGTACATTCTGTCCTCTGAGCCATAAATGCAAACTTGCCTTTGCTGTTACAACATTTTTCTATTACTGGTCTTTAAGCTGGGATTAGTTTAACTTTTCGGAACCTATTTCCTTTGTCTGTAAAGCAAAACTAACCTGTAGAGGTACAAGGACTCAACCGCTGTTGACTTGTATAATAACAACATGGAGAAGTGATCTGAGGAAATTACTAAGTGACATGCCTGAGTGCTGATGCATAATGGAGGTCTACGTCTTTAGGCTAGCCCGTCTACACATAGACAATACAGAGTTAGCACTAACTTTGAGGAGCACAGTGATAGTGTAAGCCCAATCATTTACTCTGTAGATGTAGATGGTGAAAAGCCTTTCCATTGCTTTGCTGGAGTAATTAGTTGCCTACTGCAACAAGTAAGTTTTCCCACCAAAGCCTGACACTAAACTATATTTGATTTATCAAACTCTGGAGCAACCTTAACTGTTCATTTCCTGACATGTCACCAAGTTCATGCCTATAGACCAATGCCAACTTTTTCTTCTAAAAACTTATATAATAAATGGTTACTAGGAATATTTATTTTTAAGCTGCCCAAATGGAGTCTCCTTTTTTCTTTTTTCTTTTTTTTTTTTGTTAACTAGGAATATTTTAAAAAACAAGTTTTTCTGCTGTAAATAACAAAAATAAGGCAAAATTATCAGTAAGAATCTACTGAAGATCAAGAATTCCTTCAAAATTCAACTATAATTAATGCATGCACATATGTACCTTACCTCACAAACTGTCTACACTTCCAGTTCCCGGGAATCTGATGTCCTCTTCTGCTCTCCACGGGCAGCACACATAATGGTACATACACAGCTTACCAACAGAATACTTATCAAAAAATGTTCATCATATCTGGTTTTCTAGGATTTCATGGCAAATAAAACAAATCTGAAACCAATTCTACCAATCACCAGTCTTGTCAACAGTAGCCTAGCAGCCACTAGCTGGCCAGAATTACAACAAATTAATCAACAAAATAAGCAATTAATAATAAGTAACAATGCCAGGTACCTTTAAACCCCCAGCACTCAGGAGGCTGAGGCAAGAAGATCTCTGAGATCAAGACCAGTCAGAACTACATAGTGAGACCCTGCCTCAAAAACAAAGCAAAAAATCCAAATAACAAAACAGTAAATAACAACTTACCCACTTCAGCAAGCTGATGTCGTTCAAGTGTTGAATTCTTGGGGTCCTTAATAAAATGAAAGGGCTGAATTTTTATTCCTTCAATTTGAGGGAATAATAGAGCAAAACCAGATTCTCCAATTTCTATTTCCTGAGGTCGATTGCTACCTGATCCCATTGGAGTCACTGGGGAGAAAATGACAGCTTCATGAGGACATCCAATAGAAACTGGTTTAGTGAGAGCCTCAGTCAACCCACTGCATCCTCCTAACTGCAGGGTGGGCCATCATCAAAGAGTTGCTCTTAGAGTAAACACAGTTCTCTGGCAATTTCAGGGTGGTAATCCTTGCACCGTACTTTCAAATATGTTCAGAAAGAAATGCTTTTTATAAACAGAGAAAAAGCAAGTGTCCAAACTGTCTGCAGTTGCTGAGGCTAGACAAAGGACCAGAGGACCAAGGTTCAGTTCCTGTAACCCACATGGCTGGCCACAATTGTTCCAGGGGATCTGATGCCCTGTCCTGGCCATGAACACTAGGCACACACATGATGCAGACACACGCAGGGAAAACACCATACACATAAATCGTTTTTAAGTGTTAAATTTCTAGAAACCCAAACTAAAGCGTGTATGTGTCTGTGTGTAGTGGGGGGTGGGGGTGGGGGTTATTCAAAGAGGAAAAACCCAGAAGACAAACTCCACATGATATACTGTAAATTAAAAACATAAGGCCTGTGGTGGTGTCTTGGTGGTTAACTTGACAGAGTTTAGACTATCATGCACTCAGCGCACTCTGTGAGTGATCTATATAGGCTGAGAAGACACACCTTTGACCTTGGGCAGACCATCCCAGAGCCCAGGCTGCAGTCCTGCAGCCAAGCAGCAACAGTCATCCTCTGCTCCTTCAGCAAGGACAGCATGACCAGCTTCCTCAAGCCTCTGCCACATGACTCCCTTACCAAGATGTACTCTTCAACTGCGAACTACGCAAGTTCCCCACCCTCACTGTATTTGGCAAGTATTTTGTTGCAACAGCAAAACAAGCAACCCCTACAAAGCACAAGAAGAAAACAAACAGTGTTTAAATTTGAGTAGATGCAGGACAGTCCAAATTAAAACCACAGCAGAGTGAGCCAGCCATGTCACAAGCCAACATAGTACCCAGTAAGTACACAAATGGTATTCAACACAACTAGTCATTAGATTTTAAGAAAACATTCCAAGAAACTCCATACAATAGCCTGGTTAATATTCACACACCATGACCCCAGTAGCAAGGATGCATAGCAACTGTAACCCTCATGATATAATTGAAAAACATTAGGGGAGAGGAGGAAAGAGAGGGAGAGAGAAATAGAGGGAGAGAGGGAAAGAAAGAGAGACTCAGACCATATGACAGGACTCACATGGAAGGTTTATTGGGAGAGGCAAATGGAAAGGGGGTTGAGAAACTGGCCTCTGGAGATGGAGCGGTGGAAGAGGAGAGACAGGAAGCAGGCCCTGCCTTTTATAAGGGGATGTGTAGCACATGTTACTAGCAACGTAGCTGATGAGTACTGCCTGAGTACTGCCCAAGGGGCAGGCCAGCATAATGCCTGAATGCTAACACAAACACTGTTCAGAGTACAGGATGGTAGAAAGTTGGAAAACTAGCCATTTCTTTCTTAGTTAAATATATTTCAGTGCTAAGACACAGCAAGTCCATTCCTTAAGTTTCAGAGAAACCTAAAACTTAACAAGAAGTAACAGCCTCATTCACAATAGCTAAGATTGGAAAAATCACAGTCTATCAAAACAAGAATGAGAAATAAATCTTGTCCCATTTGTACCTACCATAGAATGAAGGGCTGGGGGCATGGCTCAGTTGGTCAAATGTCTGCTGGCATTTGTTTACAGGCATGAAGACCAGACAGAGTCTTCTCTTCCCATACCCGACCCCCAGACAAGCACTAAGGTCAGACAATGGGGGAAGCAGAGAAAAGCAAATCCCTGAAGTTCACTGGCCAG